GTGTCTGCCTGACTGTCTCTGTCTCTGTCTCTCTCTCTCTCTCTTTCTCTCTCTCCCTCTCCTTATAAGGGCAGGTGACAATACTCAGGTAAATAAATCTTATCTTCTTGGGCCATAGAAGAGCCATAACAGAAGAAATTACAGGCTACGGCATCCCCTGCCCACCTGATTAAAGCACTTTATAATCCAGCAAACACACACACACTGAGCTGAGCATGGAAGCACAGCCTGTAATCCAGGATCCTCAGGAGGATAAAGGAGGAGGATCGCAAGTTTTAGCCAGTCTTAGTAACTCAGATCATGTCTCAAAATAAAATTTATTCAAATGTCTGGGGTGTAGCTTAGTGTCAAAGTGCCTGAGCAGGTGAGTTCAGTGCCCAGTACCACAAAAATAAATAAATAAATAAATAAATAAATAAATAAATAGAGGCAAGTATTCCAGCATTCTGATTTTAATTGCATTAAAAAGAGAAATAACTTCCTTTCATTTTATCTATTCAGAATATTTACTAAGATTCTGACATTCAGCCTGTGGGTCTTGAAGAAGCCATGTTTGTGTTTAGTGAGGGACACTCATGATAAACCACTCAGATGCAAAGGGTCCTCTACTTACCACGTGGTTTACAACCTGAAATTGTAAGTCAAAGATGCATTGAACACCCCTAACCTGCTGAATAGCACAACTTGGCACCAGGGTACACACGGGAGCATTCACTGTGTTCAGTGGCTGACTGGGAGCTGCAGCTCAGTCACTGCCAGCACCTGCGAGGCATTTTATTGAACAGCAGTGGCCCAGGAAAAGATTAAAATTCAAAGTATGGCTTCCACCAAATGCATTTTGTTTGCACACTGTCAAAGTCAAAAACTGTAAATTAAGCCATCCAAAGTTGGCAATCATCTGTACAATATAAGATCAGGAAGAAAGAAGGGCCATGAAACACTAAAGCAAGATTTGGGAGTTGAGTCTGGAGGTTTGTGTTTTGGGCAGGTGATCAGGGAAAGGCTCTTTATACAAGCACATTTAAGCCAAGATCAGAATGAACTAAGGAAGTAAACTCTGTAGCTAACTAGAGGAATAGAATTCCAAAGGGGAACATTTTGGAGATCTATAAAAACAGCAGGGGGGTGAAGGTTTGGGAGGGATGATAGCTAATGATAATTTTGCACAATAAAAGAACAATTTTCTTTATAGCACATCCTGCTGGGTATTCTTCACAATCATGGAAGTACTGGATCACTCACGAAGCAAATATTTTTGTGAGACTGCTGGATTCAGTGCTAGGGATTAGTAGTCAACATCATCCTCATGAACTGTCACAAAATAAATAAAATATTCAGCTGTGTGGAGAAAAATACATGGAATGTATAGACCAGAGGAATGTACTTTGGCTAGGGTTCATCTGAAAAGGCTACAGTTCGGCAGACAGCTGACAGGCGCGACAAGGGTATTCCAGGGAAAGGGGACAGCATGTGTAAGAGGTTCTGGGGTCAGAGGCCAGGGGCGTTATTCCCAAAGTCTAGTTGGAAGAAAGCTGGATAACCAGCAAAGGCCTGTATATGCAGGGTTACACAGTTACAATTATGCTGAGAACCTGGTCTTTTCATTAGCAATCAGAAGTGACTGAAATGTCCTAAGCCTTTGAAGATTTTAAATTCCAAATGCCTTATAACTTCTTAAGCCCTTAGGAGGTACAGTCCAGCTAGACATGTTTTGCTTTGCCTCAATTTATCCAAGTTTCTATGCAGCATTATTTAGAACTATCTAATTACCTAGGGTCATAACATGAACAGGATCATAATAAGCAGTGTAGGCTCAAAAACATTCTCATTCCAGTAGTAGCCAAACTCCCATTTTCATTATGCCGCTCTCCATTGTTAAATAAAAATACATGTTCTATGAAGAATCAGCATGAACTACTTCTCAAAACTCAAATCCTAAATCTACTTTGGAAAGGTAATTGATGATGGTCTACTACATTTTTTCCTCTGGCATTAGAGTAAAACAGAATTTTTTTAAAAATGGAAACAAGAACTATATTTTGATATTATTTTCCTTGCAAAGATAACAAACATTTGCCTAATAATAAATCAATCAGTTGAGGAAAAGAAACTTTTGTTGAACTTCTGTTCTAGCACGATCATTTCAGCTACGTGCCCGTAAACCATTTATGTAGCAGCTAGAATACAGAACACAGAACTTCCTATAAGAGTTATAAAGAGAACTTCTGTAAAATAAATATCAAAGGAAAAAAGCAAAAAATAAAGGGAAAATTATACAGGCATATAAAATTCATCAAACTTAAGGACCATGAGGAATGGGAATAAAGGTTCCCCAGGCACCCCAAATCCACATTTATAGGTTCAGAGCTCCAAAGAATCACATGAAAATTATAAAATTTGAAAGAAAGTACTTTACGGAGTTTACGTCATAGGAACCTTTTAGAGACCAAGGGCCCAAACCACAATATTTATCACAGAGTGGCAACACTGCACCTGGACCTGAAGATTGAGGGTTTAGTTTAGAAAAAGCAGCTCATCGGGGGCTGGGGATTTAGCTCAGCGGCACAAGCACCTGCCTTGCAAGCAGGCGGTTGTGAATTCGATCCCCGGTACCGGCAAAAAAAAGAAAAGCAGCTCACACACCTGGCTCCCATGCCTGCTGCAGCACACGTGACGTAATGGGTAATGGGAACCTACTCTAAGGTAAACGACAATCTAAGAAAAGACACGCAGTGTGAGACTCAGAGCAGTGATCGTGAAAAATATTAACTTCATGTTTCTCCAAGTTAAAAATTCAGAGAAAGCACCAGAATGAAGATATGAAAAATTCAAGAGAAATCATATCTCAGACAATGTATTTGGGTAATTTTATATTTGAAATAATAAAGACTCCAATTATTACAGACCAGACAATGTCAGGACCCTGGCCAGGTCCCCTTCTACTCATTTTTCATCCTGAGTCAGCATCGCAGGACCTCAAACAATGCCTGGAGACTGTGTAAGGGCTTCTCCCAGTTCAAGCTAGCTCCTAGCTACATGACGGTTCCCACTTGCGACGGACAGGAAGATATTCCAGCTTCTCACCCAGCATTAGGGCCACGCTAAACTGCAGCCTGTTACCGCATACACTGCTCTATAGTGTTCATCATACCAGCTCCTCTCCCTTCACTGGCTCCCCTTCTCCTTCCACGCTAGTGTTTCCTAAGCTCTCTTGCAAACAGTTTCATTTGAACCCTTGCTTAATAGTCTGTTTTGGAGAATCTCAGGATAAGAAAGTAATAGAATATAACCTTCAACTTGGTTCTTTAACCTGATACAGTGGAAGATATTAAAAACTAGGAAGAAAGACAGATATAAGCACAACCTCACAGTGAAACCCAGTGAATAAGGAATTTCTATTAACTAAGGTAGAGGGAAAAGGTGAAAAATAAACAGGAAAACTTTAAAGTAGTTTATAAGATCAAAGACTTGATAGAAAGAGGAAAGATAATAAAACACATTGTACATACTATTAAAACAAGCATGATATACCTACATGAAATAATAGCTTATTTGTATAAGCAGGGTTCAGTTTTTCTAGCTCTCCATTAATTTAAAAATTAACAGGCATTATGAACCTATCTTTAGCATAAGAAAGCAAAATCATTCTCATCTTCTGTATTTCTTCCTAAAAAATTTGTACATTTGTTACATGAACACACATATACAAAAGTTATCATATTAACAATTATGAACTTAATTCTTAATTTTGGCAATAAAAATATGCTTATACCAAATACAACTGAAACTTAAGTTTGTATTTTACCTACTCTGTAATTTTGACAATCAAATCTGTTTAGGAATATATTACGAATTCATATTTTTGTAATAAATTTTCATTATTTCTGAAAAACCATGTAAATTAAATGAAAAGTAGTTTTTCCAGCATCAAGTAATAGCTGGTCAGCCTTATGGTTAACACATTAAATATGAAGGTAAACTTGCAGATTCCAAGGACTATTAGCCTGGCCACCAGCCTTTTTTGCATTTTCTAATGAAACTATTTTTTAAAATAAAATGTAAGAAATTTCCAATAAAATAAACCAAAGTTACCCTCTACAAACATTATTCTGAATATATATATATGAAACAACTTTGTAAAATGGGATTGCTATTTCAAGACAAATTCTAACCTCTCTCAAGAAGCTTTAGTTTCAATTCTATTTCCAGGACTCAATTTACAATAGGCCAAATTTTACAAAAAGACAATGAAAGTATCTTGATTACTTAATACATTGAATCATACTTCAGAATATTTTTCTGATATTTGCTATTATACTGACAACCCTATTTGCTTGATAATTTCAACAGATTGAGATAAATGATGTGTGATTAGCAAAGAAGATTCTCACTTCATAATAGCTTGCAAAGGAATTCTCAAAGTATTTTTTAAAAGTTACACGTGTCTACATTTCTCAAAAATTTACTCTAAGCATCTCATTTGTTAACATGTGTCTAAGTATATATGTCACCATTTATTCATTTATGAAATAGAATTTATTCAATAACTATTATTTTCCAGATATCAGGCTACATAATGGGGTATAAAACTTTCTCTAGACTTTAACATTTAAAGGTAGAAAAGAAAAAATAGGTGCCCACAAGTAAATGTAATAAAATATCCCAAGTATTGTATTGGTTAGCATTTCTACTAGTGTATTCACAGATTTATTTAACAAGTATCACACACCATTAATGTGCCAAGGGTTGCCCCAATTTTTAGTTATAAAAGTAGTCCCCATAAGGGGGAATGCTACATTAGAAGAAAGATTAATTTTTGTGATGGTTCTCTTACACATACATAATGATCCATAATTCTCTTTGTGTATATTACTTAGACAACTGAGGAAAATTTATTAATCTATCTTTCCTAAAATTCTTTTCTTTGCAAGCTAAAATAGAAATGAAAGCCCAAACCAGTCAAATACAATGACTGAGATTCATAAGGCAAGTATCCTTACCAAGAATACAAGATTGTTCCAACAACAGACGTGAGCTTACTGTTTTCTTGTTTTTGCTTTGCCAAACCAAAGTCAGCTACAAGTAAGAGAACAAAGCAATACGTTAGTGTTTTCCGGACTTAAGATTATTCCCTAACTTCTGCTGTTGTACACAGTACTATTCTGTCACTTCATAGAGAAAAGACTTTGGTTCCTTTAGTCTGTTGGCACCTCCACAAGCCAGTCTTCCACACCACTTGCAGTTTTAATTAATGGCGTACTATATGTTTATTGAGCCATTACACTTTATATTTTGACATAATGAAGTTTATCATTTTTAAAAAACCTAAAATAAACCTTGCTGACTGTAACAAGGTAAAATCCTTGTTGAACTGGGTGTTTATTTTTCAGGTTATCCTTTACAAATTTCAAATAAATAACTAACATTTTGACATACAGCAATCATCACTGCATCTGTTCAAAAGAAAAAAAAAGGTTATCTCTGAATAACCATCACAAAGGTCTAAAAAGCTGAAATTAAATGGCGTTTATTTATACAAAGTCACGTTTTCTGCAAAATAAGGTTTAAAATGGTATAGTGGTAAATCGCATAATAGAAAAATTTAAATCATTTATAATACAAAAGTGATATGTACTTCATATATAAATATATATAGTATAATATATACTTTTTTTTCTTTTTTTGGACCAGGGATTGAACTCGCGACGTTGTGCTTGCCAGGCAGGTGCTTGTCCTGCTAAGCTAAATCCCCAGCCCTATATATTCATTTTAAATAACATATTATTTGTTTTATTTTTAATCAACACATAATAATTGCCTATGTTCATGGAGTATAGTATAACAGTTCATTCAATTAATACAATTTGTAATATTAAAATCAGGATAATTAGCATTTAACTTTATTTTTTTTTCTTTTTGGGGGGGGGGGTCTTTTTCATTTTTATCGGTACCAGGGATCGAACTCACGACTGCCTGCTTGCAAGGCAGGCGCTTATGCCGCTGAGCTAAATCCCCAGCCCCTTTTAAAACTTTTGCATAGTAATGGGGTTGCATATGATGTTTTGATACATGAGTACACTGTCTAGTGGTACATATATATCTTGAATATTTATCATTTCTTCATGGCGAAAACATTCAAAATGCTTTCTTCCAACTTATTGAGTCGTATAGTACATAACTCTTACCCATAATCACCCGACTTCGCAGTAGCACACAGAACTTCAGTTCCTATCTAACTGTAACTCAGTACCCATGGGTCACTCTTTTTTTCCCTATTATTCTTCTTAGTCTCTGGTAAACACCACTCTACTTTCAATTTCTAGATGGATTTTTTTTACAATGTACATATGAGTAAAATCATTTGATGCTTGTCTTTCTGTTCCTCCCTTATTTCATTTAACACAACAATAACTCATTCCAGCAATGTTGTCATAACTGACAGAATTTCATTCCTTTTTACGTGTTCTATAGTTTGTCCACAACTTACCGGCTGATGAACATTAAGGTTGTTTCCATTTCTTGACTACTGTAAATAAGTTCTACAATGAACAAGGAGGTGCAGATAATACTTTGGCAACCTGATTTCATTTCCTTTGGGTATATATTGCTATTTTATGGTAATTATAGTTTTAATTTTTGAGAAATTTCCATACTATGTTCTGTAATGAATTTATTCATTTACACTCCCACCAACAGTGCACAAAGGTTCCTTTTTCTCCACACCTTTGCCTTCACTTTAGTCTTTTTGATAATAGCCATTCTTACTGGGTTGATGTGACAGTCCATAGTGGTTTTGATTTGCATTTCCCTCATGATTAATGATGAACTTTTTTCATACATCCACTGGCCATTTGAATAACATCTTTTGAGAACTCTACTTAGAAAAATTATACATTTTAATTGGATTTTTTGGCCTTTTGCTTTTGAGTTCCTTACATATTCTGGATATTAACCCCTGAAGAGATGTATACTTTGCAAATATTGTCTCCAATTCTGCAGGTTATCTCTTCATTCTAATGCCTGCTTTATTTAATGTGCAGAAACTTTTTACTGTAATATAACCCCACTTGTCTGATTTTGCTTTGGTTCCTTGTGCTTTTAAGGTCTTCCCAAAATATCTCTTCCTAATACAAAGTCCCCAAGCATTTTGTTTAAGTTTTCTTCTAGCAAATGCATAGTTTTTACATTTAAGTCTCTAATCCATTTTGAGTTGACTTTTGTAGATAGTGAAAAGAGTCTAGTTTTATTCTTCTGCATGTGGATGTTCAATTTTCCCATCAGTTATTCAAGAGCCTCTCTTTTTCCTGCATGTGTTCTTAGCACCTTTGTCAAAAATCATCTGGTCGTAGAGGCAAAGACAATTGTATTGCTGCTAGGCTCTCTATTCTGTTCCATTGCTCAATGTTTTTTTTTTTGTACCTTACTGTTTTAATTACTACAATCCTGTAGTATATTTAAGTCAGTAGTCAATTATGTATATAATTAGTCTTCACAACCTCCCATCCATAGATAAGGAAACTGAGCTTAGAAAGAATGAGTAACTCGCCCAGTGTCTCATAAGGAGTACCCAAAGTCATATGTCAACCTGCCATTGCTTGAATCTAAAGCCCCAAATTCTTATCAAAGCACCATGCTGCTAACAAAGCAAAATGAGGCCCAGATTGTTTAAGTGACAAATTTAACCAACCATTTGAACAGTAAATAATACCAATTATCCACACACTGTACTAGAATATGAAATAGGAAAAAACACTTCCCAACTCTTCTCATAAAGCCCACACTGCTCTGATACCAAAACCAAATGATGATATTCCAAAAAAAAAAAAAAAAAAAAACCTTCAGTATGATATCCCCCATGGATGCAGACACACGAATGATCAACAAAACATAAGTCAATCAATCTAGCAATATGTAGAAAGTATAATACATAACGACTAAGTGGTGTTTAACCCCAGAAATACGCAGTATTTCATAATCAATGTAGTTTATCACATCAATATATTAAGAATAAAAACCATATAGTCATATCAACAGATCTCAAAAAAGGTATTTAAAAATGCAGTATCTATTTCTTTTAGCAAAGTAGAATAAAAACTTTCTTTACCTGATAGATGACATCTACCAAAAAACCTATGGCTAATACACTATTTAAAGCTAAAAGACAAAAAAAATAATTTTTAACTTCAAAAACAAGCCAAAGGACAAACTTCCAGACCCACCCCTGAGTGTCCTCTGCCATCAGAATGCTGGACGCATGCAGGCAGCCAGTGTGGGCAGGTAAAAGCAGCCAGACCTGCCCCTGTGTATCCGGCACCACCTGGAAGCTTCCTTCTCTCAGGTAACCTGCACAGGCAAGGAGACACAGCCAGATATGCCCCGTGTGCCTGCAGGCTGCCACTGTAGATGCTTACTTCCCTTGTGCAGCCAAGCAGGCCAGGAAAACCAGACAAGCATGCCCGTGCGCACCTCTGCCATCAGGGAGTCCTGTGTAACCATGCAGGCTGAGAGAAGAAGCCTCACCACCATTCACCCATGGCCAAGGAGAAGCCTCAGGGTAGATACACATGTCTGAAGAAGTCTTTCTCATGCACCACTGCCTCCCTGGGAGCTAAGGTTCAGAGAACCCAGGTGTCTGGCCCATTTTCCTACCATGTGGAGAGGCAGTGAGTATGGGAAGTGCCTGGGACCTCACAACCAGCTTATTGGGAAGAACCCAGGAAAATGTTGAGACGAAGGAGCAAAACGCAATCTCAGACTTCCATCCCACACAGAACAAATCTGGGAGATATAGATATGGAATAAAATGGAAATCACACACAACTGAAGTAAAGAAACAAATTCATGAGAGTGTGAAAGTAATCACATCAGAAATAACATCTCAGGAAAAAGAAAAAATCACAAGTATAATGAAAAATTGTTGAGCTTTTCTAAGGAAGCCATAGATTTAAAAAATGTATAGGAAAATGATGGAAACCCTGAATGAACAATATAGAAAAGAATTACAATGCATGAAATTGAATCTGTTTGAATATCTCTTGGAATCTAAGAGATATCCAGGACATTAAGAAGTTGATCGAAACTTGGGAAAACTTCTTGAAAGAGATTGAAGATAGACTTTCAGACCTTCAACACAGGATTGCAGCTAGTGATCATAAAAGGAAAGATCTCTTAAAAATTAACAAGGAACCAGGATATAGCAATTCAGTGGCTGCAAGATGACACACAGAAAAATAATTAAAGAGTCATAGATATCAGCAAAGATGCAAAGATCAACACAAATGACATAAAAATACTATTTACAGATGTAATAGCAGAAAACTTCCAAACCATGGGGAAAGATTCTAGCATTCAGGACATGTAGAACTCCAACTAGCCATAACCACAGTAAACGTACATCCAGACATATAATAATCAAGATCCCAGAAATTCAGCACAATAACAGACTATTAGAGGCTATTAGAGAAAAGAAGCAGATCACCTATAAAGGATAATCCATCAGAATCATGGCAGACTTTTCAACACAAACCACCAAGTCAAGAAGAGGTTCCTGAAAGAAAACAACTTCCAACCCAGGTTGATGCAACACTGCTAGAAAGTGCAGCCTAACAGGAGATGCCTGGATTTCATGCATGAATTAAAACTGTCATTACAAAATGGGCTCCTTATAAAATAATCGCTTTGGCTCCCTCTTATCTCAGTCTCTGTTGCACATCTGTCTGCTTTCCACCTTAGGAAGTTACAGCAAGAAGGCTCTGACCACTTGTTAGTGCCTTGATCTTATACCTCCCAGCCTCTCAAACCACAATGAGTCAATAAATAGAGTTCACTGTAAATTGCCAAGGCTGTAGTACTGTTATCACAGCACAAACAGACTAAGAGAGGTGTGAAATATGGGTTGGCAGTTATAACTCTCCTGGATATGATCCCCCAAAGGGTCAAAGAGATGATATTACAGTGAAGCATGCACATCAATGTTCGTAGCAGCACTACTCACAGTAGCTAAGCCAAGGAAATCCCGTATGTCCACCAACAGATGAATGGACAAAGAAAATGTGATACAGATAGATAGATAGAGA